TGAATTTGGAAAATCTCCAAAGTTCTCCAAAACTTGACTCAACAGAAACAGGGCCAACAAGAAACCGAAGAAAAGGTTTTTATTCTAGATCCTATAGCGCAATAAAATGACCTTCCTACCCTCAAAACGTTAAAACAACCAAATAATAGAACAAAACAACTGAAAATAAATAAAAGAAGCTAGCCGCTCATATGTCTGCCCCCGCTCTCCTTAGGGTGCATAAAGATTTGCATGTACATTATCAACCATATCCACCTTGGTTCCAATTTATTTCACTCTGTGAAGCTTTGCTTATCCATATTACATTAGGGAAATAATATGATTCAGCTTCCAACATAGATATTGATAATATGATCCAATTTTATATATTTGATGATAGACACAAATGTTCAGTAACAAGTTATTCTCTTTTCAGCAGGGAGATATGCACAACTTATTTTCTACCACTCAATTTTTGCACTAGTTGTATTTTTGCAGGAACTCCTGCTGACTGTACTTCTTTGGGAATTTCCAAAGCTCTCTTCCTTTCAGTACCTGATCTGGTAATTATTTCTGCATCAGCTGTAATAGTTTGATGGTTCTATTTGTTAAATTTCAAATTTTTGCTCTTTCGTTTCTTTAAAACTTAAGCAATATGCCTCCTTCTTGATTGCACACGAGATATATATCTTCGTCCTCATAAAGTGCCTGAATATAGATGTACATTGAAGGGTAATGTTTGGGCAAATAATTGATCTATGTTTTCCAGCTTTCCTTTGAAGGACCATATCTTGGCTACTGTTCTCTGTCCTATAATCTATGCGTTGTGCTCTATTTCGAGGGAAAGAGTTGCTTGCAAACTCTCATGTTCAGATATCTGTTTTGCAGGTAATCAGTGGCATTAATATGGGCAGCAACTGTGGTTATCACATGTTAGTAGCATTATCTATCTTGGGCCTCTGTATCTTTGTAGATGAGATGACTTTTTATCTAGTGTTTGCTCCAAAATTCTCTCATGTGAAGCACGGGCACTCCCAAACGTTGGCATGTCTGCGTTCATAACGGACACTATGCAGACACCGATACTCCTCATATGCTCTTTATGTGAAAAGTCACGTGTTGTGTTATGTTGTGTCGTGTCTTGTCCTGTGTGAGTGCTTCATAAATTGTCTCTCCGTAGGTGTGTTTGTCGAAGTACTGTTATGTGATTTTTCATGATATTTACATCAATATATTTGTACTCATACTACTTGGTTTTATTCATATACACCCTCTGGGATGTGGATGTGTCAAATCCTTGAACAAGAGATTTAGCCCCTATTTGACCCTCCAGCTTTCCTTTGAAGGACCATATCTTGGCTACTGTTCTCTGTCCTATAATCTATGCGTTGTGCTCTATTTCGAGGGAAAGAGTTGCTTGCAAACTCTCATGTTCAGATATCTGTTTTGCAGGTAATCAGTGGCATTAATATGGGCAGCAACTGTGGTTATCACATGTTAGTAGCATTATCTATCTTGGGCCTCTGTATCTTTGTAGATGAGATGACTTCTTATCTAGTGTTTGCTCCAAAATTCTCTCTCATGTGAAGCACGGGCACTCCCAAACGTTGGCATGTCTGCGTTCATAACGGACACTATGCAGACACCTATACTCCTCATATGCTCTTTATGTGAAAAGTCATGTGTTGTGTTATGTTATGTCGTGTCTTGTCCTGTCCTGTGTCAGTGCTTCATAAATTGTCTCTCCGTGGGTGTGCTTGTCAAAGTGATGTAATGTGATTTTTCATGATATTTACATCAATATATTTGTACTCATACTACTTGGTTTTATTCATATACACCCTCTGGGATGTGGATGTGTCAAATCCTTGAACAAGAGATTTAGCCCCTATTTGACCCCCATTTTCTAAAATTGATTTTGCCTCAAAATCATTTTCAACACGTAATTTTGCTCGTGGACCCATGACTTTTCCCAACTTTTAACCACAAATTTTCGACAAAACAAACAAAAATAATAATAATAATAAAAAATCAGTTTTAAAAAAATCTAGTCTCTAAAAATTTCTACCAAACAGCCTTAACTACTAAACGCAACTTTTATGGTTGCAATATGAAAATTCTCGATATCTGGTATAGCTTTGGCATCTACTTAAGTTACCTTAAACCAGAAATTGATTTATCAGCAGAGTAGTTTTCATATGTTGAGCAGGGTCATTGATCTATGGCGTTGATTAAATATATTGTGGTAAATACAGTGTTTATTCAGGGACAGTTGCTGGGGCTCGGGAAGCATTTTTACATGGTTTACCTTCCGTCTCTTTATCATACGACTGGTATGTATACATTATTTGTCTTAGCCATTGATGTCGATTAAAATTTTGTTTATACCCACTTTTCTAATATTAAATGAAGGATCATGTTACAAAAAGTTTTACTGGGTGTGGACCACACAACCTGCATTTTTTAATTCACGTGGGGTCCGTGTTTTTTGTGAGTATGTATATTAATCCTTAAAGAGGATGTAGCCATAAGTCAATTGACTTAAATTTCAAGAATAAATCAATTCAATTTGAGTTGCCAAGAATCCATGAAGTTTCTTCGGGTAGAAATGTCTGGTATAAATAAACCAGGGCGTACATACAATCCCTCTGTTTTTATCTAGTGTTTGCTCCAAAATTCTCTCATGTGAAGCACGGGCACTCCCAAACGTTGGCATGTCTGCGTTCATAACGGACACTATGCAGACACCGATACTCCTCATATGCTCTTTATGTGAAAAGTCACGTGTTGTGTTATGTTGTGTCGTGTCTTGTCCTGTGTGAGTGCTTCATAAATTGTCTCTCCGTAGGTGTGTTTGTCGAAGTACTGTTATGTGATTTTTCATGATATTTACATCAATATATTTGTACTCATACTACTTGATTTTATTCATATACATCCTCTGGGATGTGGATAAGTCAAATCCTTGAACAAGAGATTTAGCCCCTATTTGACCCCCATTTTCTAAAATTGATTTTGCCTCAAAATCATTTTCAACACGTGGCGTGCCATGTAGGCCACCAAATTTCACTTCTGCTCTATGTTCTTATATGACTGATAAGTGAAATGATGATAACTTAATTTTAAATATTTTTGGCACCTGTGACTAAGACAAGATAAACGATGTTTATTGCATCTGTTGTGAAGATGGATTCCGTGTGGTTAACTAATTATTGTACAAAAATCAATTGTTATTGTACCCATCCGATATTTCTTTCAATGACGGGGATTGTTAGAGAAGCTAAATGTTATGACTTGTTTGAATTTCTGACTTCCAGGGCAGGAGGTAGGAGTAATGTTGATGATTTTACACTGGCTGCAGAGGCTTGCTTACCCATTATTATTTCCATTTTGTCTGAAATTAAGAGGAACACTTATCCTCAACACTGTTTTCTAAATATAGACGTGCCAACAGATGTCCGCAGTCATAAGGTAATTTGATGGCTTGCTTTGGCAACACTGTTTCGTGCTACCTCCAAGGATTAAGATAAGGTGTTACAAACATGGAGTATCCTATAATGTGTCTGCATTTAGGTATCATGTTACAAAAAGTTTTACTGGGTGTGGACCACACAATCTGCATTTTTGAATTCACGTGGGGTCCGCATTTTTTGTGAGTATGTATATTAATCCTTAAAGAGGATATAGCCATAAGTCAATTGACTTAAATTTCAAGAATAAATCAATTCAATTTGAGTTGCCAAGAATCCATGAAGTTTCTTCGGGTAGAAATGTCTGGTATAAATAAACCAGGGCGTACATACAATCCCTCTGTTTTTTACTGCACCCGTAGAACCTCCAAATAGATATAATCTTGCAACGCTGTATTCTTAATTCACAACCAATTTTTATTTATTTATTTATTTTTTTCATTGCATGAATGTAAAGAGGAGGAAGTTGAATGTTGTTTTTGGTACTCCGACAGGGTTATAGAATGACTAGTCAGGTTAAAAATACGTTGAGAATATAATGAATAACGAATTGCTCTATCAGGTAGCCTACTGCAGTGAAGGAGCTACAGGAAATAGTCAGGTTCCTATTACAAAGGCATCATCAGCCACTGGCTTATCATTAATAAAAAGAAAAATAGAAAACAATTAAAGCTCTTGAATTGAAGCTAAGAAATTTGCTAGTCTAGAAGTCATGATATCTGCATTCAGAGGGTGAATTGGAACATTTCTGATGCCATTGGTGGGCGTGCCATGTAGGCCACCAAATTTCACTTCTGCTCTATGTTCTTATATGACTGATAAGTGAAATGATGATAACTTAATTTTAAATATTTTTGGCACCTGTGACTAAGACAAGATAAACGATGTTTATTGCATCTGTTGTAAAGATGGATTCCGTGTGGTTAACTAATTATTGTACAAAAATCAATTGTTATTGTACCCATCCGATATTTCTTTCAATGACGGGGATTGTTAGAGAAGCTGAATGTAATGGCTTGTTTGAATTTCTGACTTCCAGGGCAGGAGGTAGGAGTAATGTTGATGATTTTACACTGGCTGCAGAGGCTTGCTTACCCATTATTATTTCCATTTTGTCTGAAATTAAGAGGAACACTTATCCTCAACACTGTTTTCTAAATATAGACGTGCCAACAGATGTCCGCAGTCATAAGGTAATTTGATGGTTTGCTTTGGCAACACTGTTTCGTGCTACCTCCAAGGATTAAGATAAGGTGTTACAAACATGGAGTATCCTATAATGTGTCTGCATTTAGGTGGTTCAACTGCTTCATTCTCACCATTAACGTGAAATAGTGGAAATTTATGCATTTCTTCTTGTATATTTGCCTCTTTTGCATGTCTCTTAACCCTTTGGATTTTTCACCATTATGGCTTTTCTGATTTAGTGATACAGTTATTTTCATTGCAACAAGATCACTCTTTGCCTTCCTCTATCCCTATTTCTTCTCACTTCACTTCCCTTTCCTTACTTTAATTTGAATGTTGTCAAGTGTCTATTTTGCTTGAGAGTACAATGAATGGCTACCAGGCGTGATTGAACACCTCTCTTCTACTGCCTTGTGAAGATGTAAGTTCTTCCTTTAAAATTTTTTTTGGGAGAAGTCTGATAAAACAAGATCTATGAAAAGATAATTGGTGACTTCAAAAGGAATAATACTGGAAATTTGATTGAATTTAGTTGACTGATTACAATAAAAGGAATTTGAACGAAGAAAAATTACAAAAGATATGAGCTATTCGAGAGGCTCATTCTCTCCCAGGTAAGCTAGAATTTTCCCTGGTTATTCTTGCAGTTTTTCCTTGCCTTTTATGGTAGTTGATGACCTTCTAGAATCTCCTCCTAACGGATTGCACATGCTGTTAGTTGCCATCACCTGAGCTCACGTGATTTCCTTCTAGATGCACTAATTTGTTTCCCTTTCTGCCCCTGCCTTGCTTCGCCTGACCCCGTCTTGCATATGTTACGTGAATTGGTGGTCTATCATTACCCCCTCCCCCCCCCCTTTCGAATCTCACCTTGTCCCCAAGGTGGAAGGAGGGAAATTGCTGATCAATTAAATCATAGGGTTCCCATGCTTCCAGGGGAGGCATTCCCTTCCATTGAATCAGGATGTCCTGGCCACGTATGTTTTCCCCAGTTCCGGGCCTCACTCCAAGTACTGCCTCGGGTTCCACCAGCATTTCGAGCTCCTCATTTAGTTGTGAAGGTAGTTCCTCCACTGACTGAAAGGTTCCTAATGCTTTCCTTAATTGGGAAACATGGAACACCGGGTGAGTGTGGGCTGTGGGGGGGTAGATTCAGTCGGTATGCCACCTTTCCTACCTTCTTTGTCACAGCATAGGGTCCATAAAACCTTGGGGCAGCTTCTCATTTGGACGCTTGGCTAAAGATTTTCTTCTATACGGTCGAATTTTGAGGAGGACCAGGTCGCCCACCTCGAAATGTAATTCGCGTCGTTTAGCATCAGCACTTTGCTTCATTTTAGACTGCGCCTTAAGTTCCTCTAAAACCAGGTCTCTTTCCAGCAACTGTTGCTCTATAGCTGAGACTACAGTCGAACCCTTCTCAAACCGGATTAATGGAGGCGGCTCCCTTCCATAGACAATCTGGAATGGGGTATTTTTAGAGGATACATGATACGAAGTGTTATACCATAGTTCTGCCCATGGAAGCCAACTAAACCAGGCTCGTGGTTTGGTTGAAGCAAAGCAATGCAGGTATGTTTCCAGCGTCCGATTCACCACTTCGGACTACCCATCGGACTGAGGGTGGTATGCGGTGCTTCTACTGAGCTTAGTGCCCTGCAGGCGAAACAATTCCTCCGAGAACATACTCATAAAAATCTTATCACGGTCGGATACTATGGACTTTGGCACCCTATGTAAACGAACCACCTCTTTAATGAATGAGTTGGCCACTGTACTAGCCGTGAAAGGGTGTTTCAAACCCAAGAAATGTGCATACTTGCTTAGTCGGTCCACAACTACTAAGATGGTGTCCATACCTGCAAACTTAGGCAGCCCTTCGATGAAGTCCATAGTAATTTCTTCCCATACTTGATCAGGTATGGGTAGCGGCTGCAAAAGTCCCGCTGGTGATAATGCTAAGTATTTATTCTGTTGGCAAACCGAACACCGGCGAACATATTGTTGGACGTCCTTTCTCACTCCCTTCCAGAAAACATTGGCTGCCAGCCACCTATAGGTCTTGAGTTCCCCTGAGTGACCTCCAATACTCCCATCGTGGTATTCTTGCAACAGTAGAGGCACCAAGGTAGACTCTTTTGGCACCACCAGTCTCCCCTTGTATAGTAACTGCCCGTGCGACACGGAATACCCCGGATGTGAGAGCTGGTCTGCCTCTATATCTTTCAATATTTTTCCCAGACTTTCATCTACCCTTACTTCTTGCATTACTTTGTCTAGTGTCAGTACCCTTGGGATGGTTATTGCCATCAGTTCAACTGCTGGATTTACCCTGGACAAAGCATCAGCTGCCTTGTTCTCGAGGCCTGATCGATATTGTATGTCGAAGTGATAACCCATTAGCTTAATCAACCATTTTTGATAGTCTGGGTTAACTACTCTTTGTTCCAACAGAAACCTCAAGCTTTTCTGATCTGTCCGCACAATAAACTTCTGTCCCAAGAGATAATGTCTCCATTTTTGAATTGCGAAGACAATGGCCATTAACTCCCTCTCAAATACTGACTTGCTTCGGTTGCGTGGGTTTAACGCATGGCTGAAATAAGCCACGGGACGCCGCTCTTGCATCAGAACCGCCCCAAGTCCATGTCCAGAAGCATCAGTTTCCACGATGAACGGTTTGCTAAAATTTGGTAGGGCTAGTACTGGAACCGTAACCATCGCCTCCTTCAGTTTTTGGAACGCAGCCTCTGCCATCTCATCCCAGCAAAAATTATTTTTCCGCAACCTTTCGGTTAACGGCCAAGCTAGTTGGCCATAACCCTTCACAAACCTCCGGTAGTATCCAGTTAACCCCAAAAATCCACGAAGTTCTTTGAGATTCCGGGGACTAGGCCAGTCACACATTGCCTTGATCTTGGTCTGGTCTGCTAATACCCCTACTTTTGATATAATGTGCCCCAAATATTCAACCTCCTCTTGCCCGAACTGACATTTTCTTTTATTGGCATACAATTTATGTCTAGCCAACAAGGACAACAAACATTTCAAATGCTCATAATGCTTCCCCATACTACGACTATAGACAAGTATGTCATAAAAAAAAACTAAGACAAAACGTCTTAATTGTGATTTAAAGACCTCATTCATAAGTGACTGAAATGTGGCTGGGGCTTTGGTAAGTCCGAACGGCATAACAAGGAACTCATAGTGCCCCTCGTGAGTTCGAAACGCTGTCTTCGGTACATCTCCTTCCTTTACCCGAATCTGATGATAACCGGCCTTCAAATCTAAATTGGAAAACACTGCTGTTCCGTGCAATTCATCCAAGAGCTCTTCAATAACTGGAATAGGAAACTTGTCCAGCACCGTTACTTGATTTAAAGCCCGGTAGTCCACACAAAAACGCCAACTTCCGTCTTTTTTCTTGACCAATATCATCGGGCTGGAGAAGGGGCTAGTGCTAGGTCTGATAATGCCTGCTGCCAACATCTTTCGGACCAATATCACCGGGCTGGAGAAGGGGCTAGTGCTAGGTCTGATAATGCCTGCTGCCAACATCTCTCGGACCAATCTTTCGAATTCATTCTTCTGCACATATGGGTAACGATAAGGTCTTACGCTTGTTGGTGCTATTCTTGGTTGCAACACAATAGCATGATCTCGACTGCGGTTAGGTGGTAGGCCTTGGGGCTCTCCAAACACCCCGGAGAATTCGGTGAGTACCCCTTCCAAAACCAATGGTGTTCCCGCCTGCAATTCCTCAGCACTGATGTTTCCTAGTTCCAGTAACATTCCTTCACCACTATCTCTCAATGCTTTAATCATTGACTTCATGGAGACTAAGGTTTTGCTGAGGCTGGGATCACTGCATGAGGTGACAGATGTGCCTCCCGTGCTGAATTTCATGGTTTGCTCCTTCCAATTCACCTGTGTGCCACCCAGAGTAGCTAACCATTTCATTCCCAAGATCACGTCTGAGCTGCCAAATTCAATTTGCAAGAAATCTTCAACCACCTCAATGTTCTAAAGTGATAACACCACCTGTTTACACACTCCTGCTCCTTGGACCGTGAGACCCGTCCCCATGATTACTCCGTAGCCGGTAGTGGCGGTTCTAAGGAGTCCCAACTTTTGCACCAACTCTGTCGAAATGAAGTTATGGGTAGCCCCGCAGTCGATCAGAACCACCACCGATTGTCCTTGAATTTCGCCTCTGATCTTCATGGTGCGGGGTGGGGTCAAGCCGACCGCCGAATTCATGGACAGCTCCACCATTTCCCCCAACTCAGCAGCCTCCTTATCACTACTGTTTTCCCCCACAATCCACTCCTCTTCTACAGCTTCCGGAACTTCTCCATCTTGTATTATCAACACTTGCAACTCCTTGTTCTTGTATCTATGCCCAACTGTGTACTTCTCGTCACATCTAAAGCACAGTTCCTTCTCTTTTTTAAGTTGTAGCTCGGCCTCACTGAGCCGCTTGAAAGACGAGTGCGTGGGTGGAGAGGTTTTACCAGTGAAGACCGCCCGGGAGCCCATGGACAGTGGCGATTTTGGAAGAGAGTGCGAAGGGGAGCTCGCAATCGGGTTGTAATTGCTGGCTCTGCCTTTGTGTGGGCTAAATCCTCCTTAGGCCATTTTAAGTGCCTGGTTCCTTTCTTCTATACGTTGGGCCACTTCCATCATTTGGCACAAGTTTTTGGGCCTCAACAGCCGCACCTCAGCCCTTATTTCGGGATCTCCATCAATGAAATTCCCTTCCAAAATCACCTCCGACACCACATCGAGAGGAGTTGCCAAGGTCTCAAAGCGCCTCCGGTATTCTCGAACGGAGCCTTCTTGCCGGAGTGCTAAGAATTTCTCCTCCAATGTTCCTTCATGAGATGGTCGAAACCTCTCCAATATCAATAATTTAAGCTCCTCCCATCTCTGCAATTTCCGCCTTTTTTTTTCCCACTGGAACCATGCTAGGGCTTCTCCTTCCAAACACACCGCTATAGCCTCCATTTTTTCCTCTTCTCCCATTTGATTAATGGAGAAATATCTTGCAGCCCTAAAGATCCACCCATTTGGGTCCTCGCCGTCGAACACCGATAATTCCAGTTTTCTGCTTCATTGTTCTGACCTCCACATTCCTCCCACACCGCCAATACCCTCCACTCCTCGACTAGCCTCCGTTAATTCTGGTCTACTCTCCGAACTGGGGGTCATATCCGCTGCCTGAACCCCTTCATCCATTTTCCCTTTCCGACTTCTCTCCTAATCTTCCCACTTGTTCATCAGCCAGTTAAACTTCTCCATCATAATCGACATTTGTCCCCGCAAATCTGATCGAAGGGAGTCGAGTCCCGTCTGTAGTCCTTGTTGCAGTTCATCCATCCGTCCCTCAGTTACTCCGACGCGGTCTGTGAGAGTCATTTCCCGGGAAGCTGCTTTGATACCAAATGATAAAACAAGATCTGTGAAAAGATAATTGGTGACTTCAAAAGGAATAATACTGGAAATTTGATTGAATTTAGTTGACTGATTACAATAAAAGGAATTTGAACGAAGAAAAATTACAAAAGATATGAGCTATTCGAGAGGCTCATTCTCGCCCAGGTAAGCTAGAATTTTCCCTGGTTATTCTTGCTGTTTTTCCTTGCCTTTTATGGTAGTTGATGACCTTCTAGAATCTCCTAACGGATTGCACATGCTGTTAGTTGCCATCACCTGAGCTCACGTGATTTCCTTCTAGATGCACTGATTTATTTTCCTTTCTGCCCCTGCCTTGCTTCGCCTGACCCCGTCTTGCATAAGTTACGTGAATTGGTGGTCTATCAAAGTCTTAATCAACTTTAGAAACACATTTGTTTAGTTTTTCATTTTAAATTTTAGCATCCTCTCAATGTTGTTTATTTTTCCATTTTTGATCACGATCTTTTATTAATTTTCATATTTCTACGTATTTCGTTATTGGATTCCATATTTTTGTCATCTAACAAATTCCAACTGGTTGATGGGAGAAGGCATTATAAATTCTGGGTTAAAATTCAATTTTTTTTTTTCATTATTTCTAGATTATATTGTACTGCGTAATTTTCTGTGCTCGACTCTTCTCCAATTCTTCGTATTGAAATATTGATAATGGTGATTTTTATGTAAAAAGAACGAATTGGACAAGAGAGTCATTGCTGATGAACTTTATGGAGACCGATGAAATGAGTGGACTTATAAATCAATCCAATTTTTTACTTGGCTTAAAATGTTCTCTGATGTAGGATCTGGAGATTGAGACTGATCAGGGTGACATTTTTATCCCAATACTGCAAAAGTTCAAGAATGTGCCATACTTTTATGAGGTATTATCATTTCCCAATAATACCTATTTTATTATGCTGATGAACTTTTTGTTCAACCAACTATGCTTTGCGAGTCGTTCGTGAACTCAATGTTTCTATTTGGGGGCAGAACCCAATTGATGTATGGTGTGAAACATTTATCAATTAAAACTATAATGATTAGACGGTATTATCAGATATCTTCATGATTTATGCTGTATATTTATGAAACAAACCATCAAAATTGTTCGAACTTCCTAATTATTTGAAGACTATGCAGACAGACATCAAAATCATTTAAGTTTTTCTTCCATTCAATAGCTTTCATGACTTAAACCTTTGTTAACTTCTGAAAGGTGTGAAGAACCTATATAACTGCTATCTCAACATCCGGAAACCGATATCTCAACAAGAAGCCACATAAAGTTAGAAAATAATTACTTTACACTCAAGACTACATGTCTTCCCAGAAAAGTAGTGAATTGATAGGTCTTACTTGAGCTTCTTATGAAGGCAATGCTTTTTTCTGTGATATTGACTATTCATGTTTCTGCGATCATTACATCAATAATTTATTACACTCTATAAGCGCACTCACAAGAAATTGAAAACGAAAATGTGAAAACAAAACTTAAATTTGGGAGAAGTTACTATCTTATATACATGGCTGTAAGTCTCCCATTTCCTGTTGTGTGTGTGTGTGTGTGTTTGTATGTGGGAACATCATTTGGATGGTGGCAATGCCCGTGGATGTGATTCCACTAATATGGACCAAAGAACATGCACATCTTCATAGTGGCAGGACTTGACATCCTCGTACAGTATATATATCCCTCTACCTGAAAAACCAACAACAAAAATGTAGTGAGTTGGCTAGATAAATGCCCTCTAATAAACCCGGGAAATGAACAATATGAAGAGGATGAACATTTGATACAGGGCGCGAATGCAAGTTTATGTTGTCATGCAATGACTCCAACTAGTGTACTAACAAAAGCTAAAGAAAATGTGGGCTTCTGTTTGAAAAAAAATGGGGAAGAAAAACGAGTAGACGAATAAAAGTGACTGATGCCTAGCTGAAGTAGATGGCGTTGAATTAGCAACAGAAGTCACGAAACCAACATTTGAAGCAAGGGATTGTTAATGAGGATAGCATACTCTTTTTTTGAGCAGAGTGCAGACGAATCCACAGCTTCTTCAACGGAGAGAAGAGGGACTGCAGCCACTGCATTTCGAGAGCGGGTGTGGTATATGGTAGGTTAAAGAAAGAATGGAGTGAAATAAGAAACACAAGAGGGGGAGAGAGAGAGAGAGAGGGGAGTTTCCTTAGACAAGGGTGAAGTTTAAGTCACTATTCCTAAAAACATTTAACACAGACCAATCATGCTTATCACATTTCCTCTAGTTAAAGTGTCTTTTTCATACCTTTTTGGCTTGTAGTGGAAGAAGCCACTCCACCAATCAGATCTTATTTCTTACTTAGTAAAAGCAATAGTTTTTCCTTTTCACACGTGGCCCTTCTCCGTCGAGCCAAATGTTGTTTCTACTAAGTTTTGGGTTGGGAATACTTTTTAGCTTTTCCTAGGTTATTTCTTTTTCCTTTTGGGACCGGCTATTGTATAATTTAAGAAAATTTCATCTTTCAAGTATGTAAGTATTCTTTTGTCCATTCATCCACTTATACCAGTAGTAATCCTTTTTGGTTATTGTGTCGTGTTACTTGAATCTTTCCAAGTCGTCGAGTTCTTTATTATTTGAAATTTTTAGCTGTCAGCCCATCAACAGAGTGGCAAGTAGAGCTTGACGAGTGTTTAAGAAAAGTCTTTGACTCGAGGTGAAGGTGTAAAATTGATCAAAATCACTAAGGAGCTAAATTGTGCCACTCAGACAACTGTGTTTTTATAATAATCACATAGTTAGAACTCATCTGTGAAGGGACTCTGTCCAATTAGTTATAAATTTGCAAGATAGACATTCCATCAGATACGATTGTATTATTATATTTCAATCCTCTTCACGACTAATGTCCAGGGTTACCCAATTTTATTTTATTTATTTATTTATTTGTCATTTTCTTCTTTTTCCAGCTTTATGACTATAGAACTAGCCTTTTGCTAGAAGTAATCCTCTGAAGGTCGCTCCGTCTAGAATGAGGGTCCTCCTAGACGGAGTCCTATTCTGTTATTAATCGTAACAACCAGATTGTATTGGTTATAAACTCACAACATGAGCGTTGTATGTTACAGTTAGATTGCTAAAGTTGTCAAGGAGAGATGAAAGTTGAAAACATCAAAAAAAATGAAATTTTGTGGTTTTTGATATTCACAACGGTTAATAATATATCTTTCTTGACCTCTCCAAAGAATTTCAGTTTTGCCAAACAAGTAGATCCAACTAACTTATTTCTTTGCAAATTTTCAAAAATACTCCCAAAACTTGATGAAAAATTATCACATACAACAGTATTAACCCTAGAAATGCTTCCATTACAAGGTAGCTTTGATTGGAAGAATGACTTTATAATAACATTCTTTGCACATACATATTCCCTTTTACGTATCTTGTTCAATACGCATTGCCATTTTTGTCAAAAGGCGGTATCAAAGGCCTATCCCACCATTGAGGACTCTAAAGACGAAATAAGTAACCAAATTCTCCGTTATTAATGAAATTAAGCTCAATCTTCCATAAAATAATATTATGTGTACACCGAAAACTTTTCCTTATTTTTCAATAACTCATTTTTCGAAAAAATAGTACTCCACCCATTTTAATTTCTAAAAAAGGGGCCAAATGGGGGCTAAGAAGGTGTTTGGTGGGAATTAAAATTACATTTTTTAGTTGATTGGGATAGAAATTTTTGAAATGTGTGGTTGAAACGTTGCGAGACCCATGAAAGATGTGATTAGTATTGATCGCTTGACTTTGACTTAAATTAAAATCAAAATTTAATTTGTACCAAATATGCTCTAATTCTTACGTTTATTTACTTGGTCTTGTCAAACCCTACAAAGAGAAGTGTGCTCAAGTACGCTAAGACTACATGGGTCTTTCTTTGTAGGATTCACAGTCTACAAGCCATGGATGGTTTGATGGGTTAAACTCATTGCCAGCCACACTTAGCCCTTGTTTGGGCTACATTATTTGAAAAATACATCTTTCTCTCTTATTTTTTATCACATATTTTTTAATAAAATAATGTGAAAATTACACAAAACCATACTTTAACTATTTAACCTTCTAAAATCAGACTCAAAGTTTTATACTTCAATAATCAGAAATTTTATTTTAATCAATATTTTTATAAAATAAATATTTTACTAATATACTCCATTATATAACATTACAAACCTTAACTATCTTTATCAACATTCCTTTCATTCTCTCTCTACCCCCAAGACGCCACCGTCGTCGGTCACCGTGAAGACGCCGCCATCGCCCGTTCTTCATTCTCTCTCTCCATCCCCCAAGACACCACCGTCGAAAACAACCCGACTCTAAGGACTGATCCAGCAAATTCTGAGTCGCGACGTTGTCGCTTCTCTGACGATCGACTCTGAGGACTGATCCAGCAAGATATGAGTTGTGACGCTCAGTTCGCGCGATGCTACCGCTTCTCCGACGACTTCATTCCACCGATGGTGCACTATAATAATGGTGCTGGCTACGCATTTGTATTATGTTTGAGTTGTGTTGATTGTGGTTATAGTGGGGGTGATGGTTCAGGCAATTGTGGGGGCGGTGGTGCTAGCAATGGTCACAAGAGGTGGTTTTTGTGGTAGTTTATGGTTGTGGTAGGGGATGATGGTTTCAAGCAGTGGTGGGTGGTGGACCGATGGTGCTATTTGTGGTGGTACCGTCCTCAATGGTGCTGAAGTTTTTGATTTTTTTTTTCATTTGATTTGTTTAGTTTAGTTTTCTCGTGGTGGTTGGTGGTTTTCGAAATAGTGATGGTGGTTGAGTAGATGGTGGTGTTGATGCAGTTGGTGGTTGTGATGGTTACGGTGGTGCAGAAGATGGTGTTGGAGGCGAAGGTGCAGCGTCGTGGTAGTATTTTGGTAGTGGTGGTGTGGCGACTGCGATGGTAACGGTGGTGGCAACGATGGTGTGGTGCTTGCGGGTTGTGATTGTGGTGGTGGTGTAGTAAAAAAGTGTTTGTGACCCATTATTTGAGGGTTCGTGACCAACTGTCCAACTGTCGGGAGTTAGTGATGGTGGTGGTGGTAGTGGTTTTGGCGATGACGGTGGTAGTAGATGGTGGTCACAAGTGTTAGTGGTAGCTACAAATTATTTGGTTGACTATGACCATTAAATTAATTAATCTGTGACCAATAAACAATATGTGACCAATTAAAAATATAAATTATGACAAAAAATAACGTGTGACATAAGAAATTGTTAATCTATGACCGATAATTCGATAATTTGTGACTGCATAGTAAGTCGTGACTTAAAAAAATTTGTAATTTGTGACCAATAAATAAATCGTAGCTTAAAATTTTTTTGATTTGTGATCGATGAACAAACTGTGACCTATAAAATATTCGAATTGTGATTGTAAAATAATTTGTGACATAAAATTTTTGATTTGTGATAAAAAAAATAATAATTAAATAACTAAATCATTAATTGTGACCAAATTGTATTGATCTGTGACCTAATTATATTTAATCAATAAAATAATTAATTAAATCATAAATAAAAATCTGATTTTTGAAATTTGAAACTTGTTTTCTTAATTTTAAAATTTATGATACTTAAAATCTTACTTATGAAATATTTTCTAAAATAATATTACATGTAAATTCAAAACTTTTCCTTATCTTTTATCCACACATTTTTCAAAAAATCATTATTTCAAAATATATTTTTCCCAAACTTTGTTTTTAATGGAGCTCGAACAGGAGGTTAAATTAAGCCTTCGTTTGGCCTCAATTCAATTAAATTACATTTCATTTTTCTTTCTCCTATTTTCAGTCACACAATCTTTCATAAAATAATATTGCACATAGATCGAAAAATTTTCTTTCTTTTTCAACTACTCATTTAAAAAAAAAACACTATTCCATACATTTTCATATCCAAAAAATGGGGGCTAAATCTATGTTAGTCACTTCGCTTTGTACTTAGCCGTTTTGCACTTAGCCCTCCGTTTGGTCTCCATTTTGTGGAAATGAAAATGGGTGGAATAGTTTTTTTTTTTAAATAAGTGGTTGAAAAGGAAAGAAAAGCTTTCGATTTACATGTAATATTATTTTATAGATGATCGTGTGATTAAAAATAGGAGAGCGAAAAATGAAATGTAATAAAATAAAAATTATGTCGAGAAAATCTCTCGATAAATCTAGATTCCGGGTTCAAAAAATAATCAAACAAACACCGATTTACCTTGGCTCGACCCAAGACTTTCGTCTTACCTTTAGACTGCCCTCTTTGCCTCTCAGGTGGTCCTTTATTTAGTGTCCACAAAGGACATGCGGTGGTGACTACAATGGAAGAAAGAATGGACAACAATGGTGGAAAATCTCTCCCCCTTTTTCCCCAAGATCGACTGCCCCCTTTTACTCAACATTGCACACAGAAAACTGCTAGAATAGATAGATATATATAGGTATAGTTTAGGTCATTCCATTTGGACCTAGGGTTCACTAAGTGGGCTATCAATTGACCTAAACGAATGGGCTAATTTTCAACTCCATATGAATCACTAAATGGTCCAACTAACCAAAGAATCATTTAACCCCAACCTGAGTCATCCAAAGGTGTGGTTCGTTCTCGAGTCGAGCCAAGTCCATAGTATCGATAAATAATTCGACAATTGTTTTACATCATCGTCCGGATTATTGGGTATCAAAAAACTCAACAATCTCCACATTGATGCCCAATAATCTGCAAACAATCAAAACATAAAGTTTATACTTGCACAATCAAGGAAATCTAATAAAATTGGAATCACAGCCATACCTCGTGTTTTGAACCAAAACATACACCATACCTGCTCTATGTACTCACCAGAGCTAAGGTTTAAAAAACATCCAAGTAGGAACAATTATCACAATGAACAAACAATCATGTGATGAAGATATTATATAGGAATCACTGACCTTATCTTGTGTTTCGAACTGAAACACACACCATACCTGCTCCATGCACTCACCGAGGCTAAGGTCCAAAAAACACCCAAATAGGAACAAGTATCACAATGAACAAACAATCATGCGATGAAGATATTATATAGGATACTACACATATCTTTTAAGAAAATCACGTTCATACAGAGCTAAAGATTAACACCAAGTTAATCAGCACACTATCAAATACATATGCAACAAATGCATAAATGACCCCACGAAAGATGTCGCCACACTTATCCTATCCAATTCCGTGTTGCTCACACCTCGAGAACACATATCTCCTCTCATCGCCCATCATGCTCACTAAACAGATCACTCAATTCTCACTAAACAGATCACTCAATTCATATCAACTGCCAAGTCACAACAGATCCTAAACTTCTCGGGATAATCCTCTATCACCACATTACTTCTCCCAACCTACGTGGATAATGGGACTCCACCTTACAGAAGTGATAGAAGTGTTTCTCTCACACTCCACCTGTACAGGATCTCTTTCACAGATAAATGATTCTACACATTTGATCACATCTCCACTCGTGATCCAAATGTCACACTTTACATCCTCGGTATAAACCACAATGTACCCTTAGGCATCTATACTCCACCTTACAGAAAGACATACAACTCACCGCTAATGCATCTCAAACTTACTAGGGCAAATCAACACCTTTCGGTGACCACAAAGGTTACTCCAATCACCAAAGCTCCAAAAATTCACAAAGAAAATGACGAAGGTGGCACTCACAAAGAAAAATCGAAGAAAGAGTCGGTTACTTCACTATACTCACAAAAAGAAAGAATATAACCCTAACATAGCTGCCTCACACAATCTCACAAACCACACAGGCTCACAAAGATAAAGGAGAAAAAGGCTGCCCTAACATTCTTCTCACTACCA